AGCATTAAGTAACCTTTTTTTTCAAGCATAAAAACAACAACAACAACAACAAACAAACAAAAAAAACAAAAAAAAACAAAAAACAAAACAAAAAACAAAACAAAACAGAACCCCCCCAAAAAAAAAAACAAAAAAAAAAAAAACAAACAAACAAACAAACAAAACACAGCCAAAAAAATAATATTAAACCTCTGGATTAAGTCTAAAATGAATTGAAAAATCATATATTTTTTTTTTTTACATACCCACAGTATCTTTTTATTTTTTGCTATTATGGCCACGCTTTTTATCGAATTGTACATGAATACATGCACAGATGTTATAATTTCTTTTGTTCGTTCCCGTTTAAATGAAACCATCCAAAATGACCCAAAGAATTACACGTACATACATGTTCATCATGTAGACAGATGGGTGGACATCTTAACTTGAATTAGCATAAGTTTTTGCTTTAAGGTCAAGATCTAGTAAATAACTTTAGGCTAATTATTTGATGCAAGATCCATTATGACGTCATAATCAATTTCAACTTTCTTTTTCCCGTACTTTACGGCTTTAGCAGAATTATGTAAAAAAGGGGTATATTCAAGACATTCAATTTGAAATCATATGAAAAGTAAACCGAATACCTATATTAAATTTGATATTGATTTAAAGAAGAGGCCACGAACATACTAATTACCGTTTTCTGAGAGACTGTAGGCAATCTGGATACATTTCCTCTGTCGAATATGAAAAAAAAAACTCCCATATTCATGACTGGTTTTCTTAATTTTTCATTGAAAATGACAGTTTAAAATACAGTTTTTAATCTTGTTTACCCATTATACCCCAAAACACCTTATTTGACCAAGCTAAAGTTGTAAAGCATCAATAAAGGAATTTATTTCTTAAATTTGATAAATCTGTAGGCACCTTTCATTTACTAGATCTTGACCTTAAAGCGACAATACGGCTGCAAATCGTGTGCTTTTTCATTCAAATTTTCCCAATATATCAATAAGGAATAAGGTAAAAAGTTGAAGTAAGCATTTTGAGAAAAACAAAGTATTCATCCTGATAGATGGCTGGATCATTTTACAAAATTAAATGAAGTGAGAGAGTCATATTTTGACAGGCTAAATGAATTGAATACGAAATTTTCTCAAATGGAAAATAAACAATGTTTTAATGAATTAGACTATACAATAAGTTCTTCAGAAATATCAGAGGCAATTTCTTGTATTAAATATAATAAATCTCGTGGACTAGACAACATTTCCAATCATATGATTAAATACGGTCACAATGGTCTACTACCATCTTTAAGAAATATCTTCAATGCTTGCTTATCACATGGACTTTATACCAAATCATGGGCTGAGGGATACATTACTGTTCTGCTTAAAGCAGGGGATATCAATAACCCAAACAATTACAATGTATCGTGGCATTACCATCACTAGTGCAATTGGTAAATTATTTAACAGTATTTTGAATAAAAGACTTGATAAATATCTAGAAAAAAAATAAAATTATCAGTGATTGTCAAATTGGTTTCTGTAAAAAGGCAGGAACATCTGATCACATGTATATTTTAAGAACTTCATTTGAAACATATTGCTCTCAGAAAGAAGGACGACTCTATGCATGTTTCATTGACTTTAAAAGGCATTTGACACAGTAATACATGAAGGCATCAAAATTAAACTACTAGAAATTGGGGTTGGATCTAAATTTTACAATATAATTAAGAGTATGTACAATTGTAGTAGATCATGCACTAAGTTAAACAATCAAGTCACTAAGACTTTCCCTATTAAGTTAGAAGTTAAACAGGGAGACAATTTAAGTCCAAATTTATTCAAAATTTTTATCAATAATCTTCCAGAATACTTCAATTATATAATTAATGATAATATTCAGTTACATGATAAATTACTTCATTGTCTAATGTATGCAGATGATATAGTTTTATTGTCCAAGTCATCAAAAGGTCTTCAACAAAAACTTAATTGTCTTGATAAGTTTTGTACTGACTGGTGCCTTGATGTAAATATTTCAAAAACCAAAGTATTAATTTTTAATAAAGCAGGTAGACACTTGAAAGAAAACTTCACACTAAACAAAGAACCTCTTGAATGTATAACTTCTTATAAATACTTGGGTACACATTTCACTGCATCTGGAAGTTTTACACTTGCTCAGGATGATCTTTACAAAAAAGCTTCAAAGGCAATTTTTTAATTACAAAAAAAATTTCTATCATTGAACCCTAAAATAAACACAGCTGTACATGTATATGATCATACAATAAAACCCATTTTACTTTACGGTAGTGAAATTTGGGGGGCCCTTAACACTTCTAAAGCACGATTTAGAAATGGACTCATTGCACTTGATGAATTATTTTCCAATTCACTTTGTGAGAAATTACATTACAAGTTTTGTAGATTTTTATTAAGTGTAAATAACACAAGTATAAAATTTGCAGTCCTTTCAGAACTAGGTAGACACCCTATGAGTTTCAGTATTGTTCAGAATATATTGAAATACTGGCATAGGTTAGAGAATTTGGATGACATATATCCTCCATTAAAAGCTGCCTATACTGCCTCAGTATCCAATTTCAATAAAAACAAATTATTATGGTTTGGTTCTATTGATATGTTTAAACAAATTCTTCCTCAGTTAACACCTCATCTGAAATCATCTACATCAACATTTAAATATCACTGTAAATGCATTTAAAAATAATATTTTCTTAAAAATGGTATCAAAAGAAGAAAGAATTAAGTAATTGTGGGAAATTGGACACCTATTGCACAATTAAACAGAACTTTGGGCTAGAACCTTATTTATTAATCTTAAGAAAGTTTGATTGTTGATTGTATACTGTTTAACGTCCCTCTCCAGAATATTTCACTAATATGGAGACGGTGAAGGGCTGCAAATATAGGCCTATGCTCGGCACTTACGGCCTTGCAGGGAGGGATCTTTATCGTGCCACGCCTGTTGTGACACGGGGCCTCGGTTTATACGGTCTCATCCGAAGGACCGCCCCATTTAGTCGCCTTTTACGACAAGCAAGGGGGTACTGAGGACCTATTCTAACCCGGATCGCCACGGGGAAGAAAGTTTGAGAAAAGATAGACTCTAACAAAATTTCGAATATTTTCTCACAATCTGATGATTGAAAAAGGTAGACATTACGGTATTCCAAGAGAAGAGAGAATTTGCCCCAATTGAAAATTAGAAGAGATAGAAGATGAAGTATATTTTCTTTTAGATTGTCCATGACTATGGAATAAGAATAAATTTACTATCCACGATATCTATGAGGATTCATCTTTTTAACAGCTTGTTCAAAAATAACCAATTTTTATGGTTAATGAACTGTGAAGATGTTGATGTGCTGTGCAAATTGTGTGAATTCATAAGTCATGTATATTTAGACAAATTCAAAATTATTTGATGTACCTAAGTTAAATACTTATGTTTCACCATGTTAATATGTTGTTGATATGTATGTTGTAGTATATACTCTACATTGAACAGAAGTGGATAGCTTTAGTATATATATATATATATATATATATATATATATATATATATATATATATATATATATATATATATATATATAGTTGAAAATAGTTCACAGTCGATGTCATACAGGTGAAAATAATTATAAAAGAAAAAGAAAATGCAGTTTCCAAATTTCATTTAACACAAGCGCCTTCTGGATTTCATAATCCGTCTTCAGGTGTACATTAATTGAACTGATTGTTTTGCTTTATATATATCTATATATATCAGTATATATATATACTTAATAGAAGAATTGCTCTTCACCATATGTTGTATTCTGTCTATTACTTTATTATGTGTATATGTAATTATATATGTTATATTTTTATGGCCAATGGGCCCTGATTTGGTAATAAATTCTTTTCTATTCTAAACAAATTATATTTTTACGCTGAATAGTCTACGGATTTTTCCATTTGCATACAATAATAATAAAAAAAAACACAAAGCGTATGTGAACAGTTGACAAAGAATGTTAACTCCTTTATGACATCTGATTCCAACTCAGTTTTTAGACGCCCTTGCTTGCTCTGATTCCAGTTCGTTTTGAAACAATGAATTTTTTTTTATCTTGTCACATTAATAAAGAACAATATCTGGACGAATGTTCAAATTATTTTATTTTACTTTTTTTGAAAATGTGAAAAATCAATACAATTTTAGAAGAAACAACATTTGGTCTGTAATGTCAATGAAAATGCAGATTTTTGAACAATAAAAGATTACGTAATTCATTATTCAATACAACATTTTCCTGAATGCAAAACAACAAATTACAGAGATAAATTAATGAGATTAATAAACGACAATTTTCCATCGATTTAATTTGAAATTGCTTCATAAATGGATAAAATAATAAAACGATTCTCTGTCTGAGAAAGATAAACTAATATGCTCAATTTCAAGAAAAAAAGCAACAAATCATTTTTTTAAACGATACATGTAGATGCGCACATAAGACTGACTAGTCATTCAAATGCTTAAAACACGTTGGTAGAAAACAAATACAAAGGTAAAAAATGCGTTTTCATAATTATTATAAAAACAAAAACAAAGAATACATAATTTAGATATTCATATCCACAACAATATAAAACAAATACTCACGTATTACCTGTACGGGATAAGTGCATTTTGAATATTATCTCAAAGTTGGACATTATTAAATTTCATTGCCTGTTGTAATCGAATCTTTCTTTGTGATAAATGTAAAGAGATGTCAAGGATAGAGATGGAAAAAACTAAGAACAAATAAGAACTCACTTTTTTTTCTGCATCTCATACTTTCAAAGAAGCATATCTGACATACTTGGAGATTTTATTTTAACACTTCCCTATACTAATAATGCAATTTCACACATAAAAGTAGTCAAAACATCCAGAGAGATTCTTATTTCATATCCTAAGCATTAGACTCAAGACTTTAAATCTAAAATTTCTCCTACAAAACTACACAATTACCCAGAATGTTTGCTTTACTCTCAATTTACACTTTGCCTAGAGACTAGATTGTGGATCCCCCAAGGTTTTCTTGGGAGTAACAGAATGCTCAAAAGAAATGTTTGTTTTCGAAGCTTTGCAAAGAGACTGGTTGGAAATCAGGGTTTTCATCTTTTGCCACCTATTCCTTACTTTTCGTGTGTAAACACTGGAGAGCCCATAAATCCTGTTTTCATAAACAAGATCATCAGAGGAATTAAGGCTCTGCACAGATTTAGTAGTGATAACTTTCACAGCTTTGATCAACTGGTCACAGAAGACAACAACTACCGGGTGACAGTGGTGAAGTTCTACCTCCAGAAAGCCAAGATACGTCATATAACCTTGAACAGAAGAAACATACTTAGGTAATGAAAACTATATAAAAATTTAATTCATTTATGGAAAAATATACTTTAAATTATTTAGACAATATCATATGACAAAAAGTTTACATGAAAGTAAGTGAAAGTTGTTTTATTTTGTACGTCACGGATGGGCTAAATTTTATTATTATTTATTGATTCACTCACTGATATCAATATGTTCATATCCAGGAAACAACAAGGATCTATCCATACGCGCTATGTAAAATATTCCTAAACACATGGACACTATTACCCGGTACACACATCGGAATAAACCAATCAGTATATAGTAGAAAAACAGGAAATAGGACAGGTTCTGGTACACCCGCCTAAAAAAAGAGTAAAAGTCACCTCAGATTTGTAAAAAAAAAATTTGCAAGTTATCGATGAATTTCACGCAAAATGGTTAATTTGATAACTTTAGAAGAAAAAAAATGAAAAAGCTCAATCCATTTGACAACACTTACCTATTATCTAAGGCCAGTACTTTCTCCCAGTGTTCTCCGTTGTCAGAACCGATGTAATGGTTTTGTAAGAAAGCTTTACGACTGATGATTCGAAGTAGAATTCGGAAAATGAACATGAATACCACTCCAGGTCTAAAAGTAAATATGAGTTTTATAACAGTATTAAAATTATATTTTTGACGATTATACCTTGTAATTAAAAGTGAATGTTAATAAATCACCGCAAATAGAAATAATTATGTGACCATACTTACAATATAGCCTCCAATGGTGATAGGAAAATTATAGGGACCTCCTTCATGAGAGGTAAAACAACAAAATACGCCAGGACAACACAGACAAGGAACACAACTATCTGTGAAATTAAATAACCTAGATTGGAATAGAAAAAAAACAATACATTCTTATAGACTTTTTTTAACTTACAAATTTGAAAAAAGGAATTCTCTGGGAATGTTTTTTAGAAAATTAAATTATGCCCAAAACTATAGGGGCATATGTTACTTTTTTTTTTTTTTATAGATTAGAACACTTGATAAAAATAATGCACCATTATTTCCATTAGTTTATACATATCAAAGTCTGCAAGTCTGTTAAAATTGTAACCCCAATATTCCAACTCTAATTTGATATCTTATTTATCAAGTACTAGTATACCAAACGCCAAAATTTCCCGATATAAGGTAAATGTTCTGACTATTATTAAAGATAAACCTCCAAGAAGATGAGAAACTTGGTTTCCTGCGTACATCAAATTTTTCACCTGAAAGAGATTATAATTTTTTAAATCAAAACAAATCAGACATTTAAATAAAGATTTATTGCAGTCCAAATTTTGAACAAAAAGGAATCGCGGCGTAAAATTTTTATTCATAAACTGTTTTTCGGGAAACAGAAATGCGTTATTGTGAGACATTTATACGAAGATTTTATATATATATATATATATATATATATATATATATATATATATATATATATATATATATATATATATATATATATATATATATATATATATAAACAACTAAAATACACAATTCAGATGTTTTTATATATATATATATATATATATATATATATAAACAACTAAAATACACAATTCAGATGTAAAAACAAACCAGCATGTCAGTATGTGTTTGAGTGCAATTTCTGGGAATGAAAGTCCTGTCTCCTCTCCAGATCTGAATGATATGTTGCCTCTGAGACTGATAGATGAGGACCATATTGGCGATGAGGTAAACAGCCGAGAGCATATTAGCGAAAATGAGCGAGACTGAAATGTAAAAACATACTGTTAGCAGTTAATAGTAAAAATTGAAAACAAAATATGACATCAATATCACAGCAAGTGCATGTATTTTGCTGAGAGAGAGAGAGAGAGAGAGAGAGAGAGAGAGAGAGAGAGAGAGAGAGAGAGAGAGAGAGAGAGAGAGAGAGAGAGAGAGGGATAAAATTTAATAATTTTCAAAATTTTCAACTTAATTCTTATATATGTTATGTGCGTCAGCTTTTGTGATTACGTGCCTCTGATGACTTGTATTGCAGTCTGAAAGTAGCGAAGGAGTGGCCCTGAAATCTTTATATCAATCAAGGGTATGTATTTGTTTGGAGCAAGGTGGTCATATATTTGTCCAAAAACATTGATTATATACATGGTGAAGACAAATACCTGTAAAATAATAATCTAACCTGTTTCATAGAGCAAACCTGAAAATTACAAATGACCAAAAATCAATTCAATGCAAGTTATATTTAATTCATTTATAAATTTAATTCAGACTGAATATATTATCATCAAAAGATTACATAATAGAACACAAGCAGAACTATGGTGTTAATGGCAAGAGTCCTTGTGGTACATCTGTATAGACTTTTATGAAGACAGCAAAGCTTAGCTTCAGAAACAACGGCATCTGCATGCTTAATTATCCTCTGTCTGAAAATAATAAACTTTGGAAATTTTTTCTTTTTCTTACATAACTGATCAAAAGTCAAATCCAGCATTGTATGTGAGATTAGTACTACTGTACAAAGATTTTACTACATTACAAACGGAAAGCAGATGGAAGTTCAAAGGTCTGGAGTCCTTTGATTTTAAACAGATCTTGAACTGCTCTATAAAACAGGCAATGAACATGTATATATTTTCAATACAGTCAAACCTCTATTAAGAGACCTTCCAACGGAGAAAGGAAAAAAGGTCACATATGACAGGTGGTCTCTTAATACAGGTCGCTTATTTTCCGCAGTTTTCAATATATAATGCTGAAAATATCATATGTGTATGTTGAATGTATTTCATAACACCTTCTGTTTATTTCCACATTTTAATAGGTACTGCTCTAAACTCTAAAATGCTTTTATATTATAGGACCAATTAGTACAAGTGTCCTGTTAAGAAATAAAAATTTGCTTGATCTGAACATGAGTCATTTAATTACTTAGTATTTGGAAATATTGTGAACATCTGAAAATATGAATATTTTTTTCCATACAGTATAAAAAAGCTGCAAAGTTGTTTTTCCTAATAATAGTTTTTTTTTTTTACATGACAGCCTATATTTAACTTCGTATGTTTTGTAACTAAGAATTAAAACTGTATTATGATTTTTGTTATGCACTTGGTATCAAATTAAATTATATTTATGACTAAAATATTTATTTAACCTAATCAATTTTTTTCATTCCTGAACTACCGTGTCTAATTGCCTGTTTGTGACCAGGTATTTCAATCACTTCAATTATCACCTGTTATGGGTGCTAGCTTACCCATTGCTGACACAATGCACTTACAGTATATAAACATCTAGGATTTAGTTACTTGTTAAATAAAGTTAAACAGGCTAGAATAGAATATATAGGGAAAAGCGTTGGGGGGGGGGATTTTACGGTCGCGTGTGACAGTGAGTCACTTAATACAGTGGGTCGCTTTGGCAGTTTTAAATGTACTTTTACTACGTTAAAATGCATTATGTTTAAATTATTGGAATTTAAAATGATATACGAGTAAACATAATAAAATGTAAATAAACTGCACATGTACTTAATCTTTATTTCTTCGGCACTACTTTTGGGTTTCTGAAGTAGATCTTTGACATGCATCAGTTGGTCAATCTTCACTAGAGGTTCCTTCAACTATAATGTAAACATGAAATTCAAAGTAAAGGTTGTGTTTTTACTTCCACTTTTCGACTTAATTGGAGATTTCATGCAATGTTTTTAACATGTAATTAGAATAGTGCTTTGTTTACTTACATTTGCAGATTTCTTGCACAGTGCAGTTACAATTCGGTAAATGAAAAGCATCAGTAAATATATTTCAGAAATGAAAACAATGGCGTAGATAGCCCATACCTTTAATGAAAATATGCAGTAATTATGTATAATTGTAAAAATCTTCTCTTGAAATCGGTTAAGCATTACATTTGATTAAAGAATATTGTGAGTTCTATATTATCTTACCCAGTCTTCTTTGTTACAGAGGTAATTTTGACCAAAAACAACCAAAAACCTGTTGAAATAGAGAAACACCTACTATACAACCACACAGGCAAAATTAAGTAAAAATTAAGTCAAATAGGAAAAAATTTTAATTCAATATTTTGACAATTTGATTTCTTTAATACTCACAATAATAAGGTATACAGAAATCCAATGATAGACCCTACCAGGCGAGACGATGAATTCAAGCAAGCAAATATAGGATAATATACCATAGACATCAAAAAGCAGACAAGGAAAAATATAGGTGCTTAAAAAACAACAAAAACATGTTTTGTCATTTTAATAAACGTAAGTCATAGTGTTAATACAATCAGTAGATTAAATTGTAATTTATATTTTTGCTTTTCACTTTTGTTTCAAATTTTTAAACATAGAATCATGACTTGTAAACATCTACTCTTGAAATACATGTAGGCTAAGTAATAAATCTGATTTATATAATACCGCATAAGTGGAAATTTTAGCGAGACGCAAATTTAGCGATTTGTCCTTAAAAACAGGTATTTTATTTTTAGCGAAATGTAATTTTAACGGTTTTGAAATTTATTTTAAGAAACTATTGCAAATAAAGCGCAATTAATTTTTAGCGACATTCAATTTTATTGATCTTGATACCCTCAATAATAATGCCAAAATTAAATCCTCGCGAAAAATCTCTGCTTATAGGGTATAATGCTTAAGAATATCATGATTCCTATTTCATCTTACCCAGTCGGCATCGTTGTAGAAATTTAATAATTTTTATACATCAAAATTAAGTCAATTTCTTATGTCAAGACCAGTAAGATAAAATGTGATTTTAAGTTAAAAAAAATTCGTACTTAAGGCAAAGTGAAAGATGAAAGCCCAATCATACAAATTTCAAATGTTAAGGCCAAAGTTATAGTTTTTTTTTTTAACAATAATTCAACTCTCATGGCAAAATTGTTGGTATTCAAAGAGAGAATCACGCAGATGAAATATGAAAGACCTACAGTACCACCAAAATAGGTAAATGTCATTTCATTTTTTTTTTCTAAAAGAAAGTAAAACGTCAAGGTGAAAACACCATAATTAATACAGTGTTTAGTATCAATCCAAATGGTGGGTCTTTTAAAAAGAAAAATATTCATAAAAGGTGAACATCCTAATTCTAACTTCAAAGCTTTATTGTTAAGGATATTTTTTTTTCAATTGTAAGTCAAATTCCAAGGTCAATATCAAATGGTCAAATTTTTTGGCTCCTAAGGGAAGGTCCAAATAATAAATAAATAATATACACACTAAAAGAGTCCTCGCTCAAACCCTTCAAAAGTTGTGGTCAAAGAAAGAGTTTGGTCTGTTGAGGACCTAAAGAAAATATTAATATTGCTGAAAAGATGATACATACCTAACAACCATTTCGTAGCTGTGTAGATGTTTCCATAGAAAATAAAAATGAATAGGTGTTGCAGCATGCATCCAAAAGCTGCAGCATTGGCGACCGAATTTGTGGTGCCATCAAGGAAATTGATTGGGCTGAATAGAAAAAGAAGAAATTTATATGTAAATCATTTAACAATTTTATCATTAAAAGCTGGAATTTTAATACAGCTGTATATGCAAAAAATGTCGATTTAAAGAAAGAATGTATATCATTTTAATACATTGTACATTTTGAAAAATGGTAATGTTTTACATCAAAGCATATCTGAAATAAGGATACGTGTAAATTATCAAAATAGGTTCGATTCTATCATTCTCACAATAATTTACTTACAGTGGAAGTCCTGGTCTACCATGACAAACCTCTGCTTTACATCGTCTTTTTTCGACAAAAGTTATAATAATTGTGGCCACGATCTGTTAGGATAAAAGTTTAAGGTAATCCGATCCTCAGGTTTATAAAATTAGCAGTTAAGTAATCAAAACTACTCATAAAAGTATCTCTGAATCTACAAAGTTATGTAAATGTGTCCACAGTATTTCTTTAAAGTTAAAGATTAAAGTTGATCATATTATATAAAGAAAATTGTCAAATCTCCCATATTTTTGCAGAAAAAGCAAATTGGAATATCTGCAATACATTTTCTAATTGCAAATTGACCAACAATTATATTTTAGGTTTCAAAAAGATAGGTATCCAGGCATTCAGAGAAATTTTCATGATTTTCATACCTATTTTGTATTTTTTGTCTTCTATTTCCGTCATATATTCTAAAGTACATAGTGCAAAAGGTATTTCCTATCATTGCAAGACACCACAGATCACTTTGTATTTCATATCAATCATGTTAATAAGCATTGGTATCTATGCCTGGATTCAAGAAAATCTTATTTCACTAAAACTGTATCATTTTCCCCCTTTTATAAGGTACAAATGTCAACTTTTATAAGACCTTTTCTAGGACTTCCAAAAAAACATTGAATCTTATACAGATGAATAAAATGAAAATTGTTGCATGAAAAAAATCCATTTTCAAGCTTCATTTTGATGCATTTCAAATTAAATATTGATTTTTGGAGTTATCCTTCCTGGCTGAGGATCGGATATCCTTAAAGCATGGATTGTATTTAATCCTGAATTTAAACTCGACATCAGAAATTTTAGCTACAATTTCCCTTACTTATTCAGCAAGATATACCTTCTTCACCTGCATACGGAGTTTACATATCTCAGTTGATTCTTTACGCAAGAGCATACTCTACGAATAAACAATTTCTAAATCGAGGTAAATTATTGACAAAAAAGTTGATCAAACAAGAATTTCAGCAGTCTCATTAAAAGTCATTTTCGTAAGTTCTATGGTCGATACAATGATCTTGTCAGCAAATACAATGTATCATTGAGTTCAATGCTGACTGACGTTTGTCATACTTATTGTTAGTACATTATTATTTATACACTGAATTGACGACGGATTATCCCGATCATGACAAGGAGCACACGGCGGGTGTGACCGGTCGGCAGGGGATGCTCACTTCTTAATGACACCTGATCCCACATCCGATTGATTGAAGGTCCATGTTTGCTCTGCTCCTATTTTGTATTGTTTTATGAACTTTTGATCTTAAATACTGTTCGTTATCTCCATATGTTTCATCTTCAGACATTCAGACAATATTTTAGAGGGCAATATTAAATGTTTTTTAAACGGTGTCTTATCGTATTTTATTCGTGAATCAATGATATAAAACTTTATGTTTTTGTATGACTAATATTTTAATTTTGTCATCAATTTTACTACTCTGAAATTGGCATCCTGATTCTACAAAAGTTTGTTATGACAAAAGTCTACGCGGTTTAACAACTCCTTAGCTCTCAAACTGTTTTAAACGATAAGTATTTGCTGGGAGTTTGACATTTAACTTTGAAGAGCTAAATATTTACCGCATATACAGCCATTCCTTGGTAAATGTAGAGGGCTACTATAAGCTCTAAACACTCTTGGTCCGTTTGAGTTGTGTTTTCCTGAGTCGCTGTGTTCTCCATGCTGTAAAAGATTTTTCAGAGAAACATTTGAAACAATCGCTACTTCTCGGGTCTTGCCGTCAGAGGTCTATGGTGTTCCATTGGGGCCACTCGCATCTTGGCACTCTCGGCTTTAGGGCAAAGATGCGAGAGTGCGAATTTGCGATGTGGAAAGGCTAAGGAGCAAAGTGCGAAGATGTGAGGGCGAAAGTGCAAAGGTGCGAAGGCGGAGGAACAATACTAGTATTGCTTCTTCGCCTTCGTCTTTTTTGTGGAGGTTTTTATCATTTGAAGATAATTTTATTTACAAAAATTGTGTCTATAGAAGAAGTTGAACCGCTGAGTCTGTTTCAAATTTAATTCCAGCAAAGATAATGAAATTACGTTACGCATAATGAAATTACAATGTATATTGTATAAACCGCGGTATGAATGAAGGTATGCTATTTAAGAAAAGTGACAGGAGGCTTGAAGTGCACACACAATTATAGTGGGCATTACATTTTAATATAGTTTAATAATAATGTTCAAGTCTAGTAGTACACTGATTAGCAAGTTAAAAGATATGCCAGATAACCATGTGAAATAAGAATGACTTTTTAATAATTGATAGTAAGCACGACAGCCTAACTTTTACACCTGTTTTAGTCTCATAATTATATAAAAATATATTTTGTATGCCACACTAATCTAGCGCATGCGTACATGTACCAATAACATCCAAGAACCCACTAAAATTATCTCAAAACGATAAAGAGCTTCACAGAAGTAAAATACGAAGGCGAAAGTGCGAAGTTGTGAAGGCGATGGAGCGGAAGTGCGAAGGTGCGAGGGAATAAGTGCGAAGGAAGTGCGATATTAGTATAGCTCCGTCGCCTTCGCACTATCGGCCTCGCATCTTCGCACTTCGCCATCGCATCTTCGCTCATTCGGCATCACAACTTCGCACTTTCGCCATCGCAACTTCTCACTCTCGCATTTTCGCACAAAAGGCGAGATTGAAAAGGTGCGAGTAGCCCCAACGGAACACCATATATAGAGGTCGGAAAAACAACATCGAATGTATTTACATCACCGGATGTTAAAAATTTATACATCTACCTGTTAATATAAGATTATACAAGAAGTCTCTTTGGTGGTATATTTTAGGTAATGTCTTCCATTATTTTTGTGAACATTTGTGAAAAGGGGGGTTTTCATGGCGTCTATGTAATGCATTCCAGGTTGTTTTTCCGCCAGTCGGAAAGGCCCGCGATGTTGCGATGTTGCGATTGACAATGAAACAGTCATCCAAAATGGAAACTGGAATCTGTTTTAAATGTACATTATTAATTAGTATTCAGAATAATCAATCGTCGGTCGCGTGATGATGATAAAACTTAACAAGAGGCCCATGGGCCACATCGCTCACCTGAGCACATGGGATAGTTAAAAAACACAAATCAGCTCCGTAATTAAAAGTTTACTTGTTGGGGGAGAGGGGATTTGAATTTTTTATTACTTGAGAATGTCATTATATCAATAAAACATACATGTATAATGAAATATGCCATACTTAAGAAGAAGAGTTTTAAAGATTTTTCCTATATATTTCTATGTAAAAATTTGATTGCCCATTATGGCCCCACCTTACCCCCCAGGGGTCATGATATGAACAAACTTGAATTAACTCTAACTGAGGATGTTTCCATATTAATATCACCAATCATAGCTTTACTGATCTTGAGAAGAAGATATAAAAAGATATTCCATATGCATTCCTATGTAAAACTTTGATCAGCCATTGTGGCCCCGCCTTATCCTCGGGGGTCATGATTTGAACAAACTTGAGCTGATGATGAGTTTCATCTTTTCTGGCCAAATGGTTCTGGAGAAGAAGACTTTTAAAAGATGCCATTAATTTTTCATTAATTCATAATTATCTCCCCTTGGAAGAGGGTTTGGCCATTCATTTGAAAACCTTGAATTCCCTTTACCCAAGGATACTTTGAGGCAAGTTTGGTTGATATTGGCCCAGTGGTTCTTGAGAAGGAGATGAAATGTGAAAAGTTAACAACAACGACGACGACAACGGACACATTTTGATCAAAAATGCTCACTTGAGCATTCGGCTCAGGTGAGCTAATAATTAACGAGGCCCATGGGCCTCATAGGTCACCTGAGTATCATACATGTATAATAACTTTCTAACAATTGAATATACTTCGTGTTTTAAACCATGAGGCCATGAAATTCACAATTTTGACAGACGCAGCATTGCTTATGAAAGAAATAATGTATTTTTACTATAATTATAATCAATAGAGTACGTAGGTGCGAGTGGCCCCGATGGAACACCATAGAGGTCGGAATCTCAAATTCACAATTCTGGAAGAGGCAGTTTTATTCAACATAACTATGTACTTAGTTTATTTAACGCCCAGGAGCAGAGAAGAAGATTTTAAAAGAAATAGTGCATTTTCACTATATTATCTTTTTAGCCCCGCCCTAGCATTAGAAATCCAGACCCTGGGGTTAATTTCATAATTTAGGTAGAGGACTCCATGCTGATTACAATCATGCAAACAGTTTGACTTCTTGATGTCCACGAGTAAAGAAAAAGATTTTTAAAGATCGCATTTATTTTAGTGGTTTTGCCCCACCCCTCAGCCCTCCCCCCTCCGGGGAGGGGGGGGCAGGGACCATAAAATTGAAATTTTTGTTCCCTTTTTAATCCATAGAGAAGAAGATGAAAATGTTCAAATGTTAACGCACGACGGACAACAGACAGCAATAGGCCACCTGAGTTTACTAATTTAAGGTGACCTAAAAATGTTCAGCTTTATATGCAATTCAGAGTTTTTCCTAATACAAATTAAGGCTAGACTGCTCCCTGTTCACACATCCACCACGATCAAAGTGTGGCCGAAAACGTGGCCGATCATGACAAATCGCAGGAGAAACGTAGTGGAGTCTTCAAGAGTGCAGTATGATCGCGGTATGGTAGGTAGTAGAAGCGCCGTAATCGTACAAGCAGCGCGGAAGCAACGTGGAGAGATCTTCGTGATCGTAGTATATGCGCAGTTAAAGCGTAGGAACTTATCAAGTACGCTACTAGAACGCCCCAACTCTTACTCATTCCTACTTCGATTTTTTTTTACATTCCTAACAATCCTACGAAGACCTACAATCATTATGACCTTGTGCTATCACGACCTATCAGGCAGCAGTTTGTTTTTATAGCGCTGATATTTGACCAATTATCATCTGTCAACTACATGTCACTGTACTAGACGATCATTTGCAGTTGAGACTTTTCACATCTTTTTACAGTTTCAATTTGAAATGCCCCGTAAACCACGTGGTAAAGGCTGGGGGTCGCAAAAAATGTATGCATCATCGCCAAAATCGTACTAGGAAAATCTTCGGTTGCAAGATATATATACATCATCGCCAAAATCGTACTAGAAGAGTAAAACAATCGTAGTATGATCGGCACCACAGTAGCGATGTCGTCATATTGTCATCTAGGTCTGCGTAGTATGATCTTGAATGTCGTAGTGTCAGCTCAGTGTAAACGCAGAAAAAACGGTGGCTGGTCGGCAAAGGTCTGCGTAGCATCGTAGTAGAAGCGTGCAGCGCGTTTGACAAAAGGACATCGTAGTGAGTCGTAATGAAGAGCATAATTTGCCAAATTGCTCGATTCAGACCGGCTCCTTTCCGCCCCGATCCAAATCTTTTCAGATAGTGGCTTGATCGGGATGATCGTCGTAAAGTCGCAGGGGGTTACTCCAGACTGTCGAATTTTGTTTTATAATAATGGATAATATCAAGGTTAATCACAAAGTCGTCGACATACAATCGCATCTCTTGATATACTTACCGTTCACGAGTGGTAGAGCGTTCGCTTCGTGATCGGGAGGCCCGGGTTCGATTCTCGTTCGCGGCGCCGCGTCAAACCTAAGACGTAAAAATAGATAGTGACTGTTCTTTCGCCAAGCACTCGGCATCAGAAGTGAAAGTCACGGGTCTTTCGGATATGACCTTAAAAACGTAGGTCCCGTGTCACGGTAGTTGCTGGCACGATAAAGAACCTTCACTGCTCAATGGACCTGAGTGCCGAGTATAGGTCTAAATTTGAAGCCCTTCACCGGCATACGGTGACGTCTCCATATGAGTGAAAAATTCTCGAGAGGGACGTTAAAACAAAATACAATCTTAATATACTTCACGATTTTTTTTTCAAATTTTGTTGGCGTATCATTTTCATCAAAGTTGTCGACATACAATCGCATCTCTTAATCTACTTCGCATTTTTATGCCTCCGTAAACGAAGTTTCGGGGGTATATAGTTTTTGTCGTGTCCGTCTGTCTGTCTGTCTGTCTAGCTGTCTCTCTGTTTGTCTGTTTGTCCGCAAAAACTTTAACCTTACCCATAACTTTTGATTTAGTGGAGGTATGACTTTCATATTTCATATGTGTATTGCTTGTGACAAGACCTTTCTTTGGGTACCACCAAATTTGACCTTTTGACATTGACCTTGGAGTTTGTCCCACTTTAACATGAAAATTTTAAACTTTTTCTTTGGCCATATCTTTTGAACAATAGATACCAGGACATTTATACTTCACATATGCAATGTTTGTTGAAAGACCTTTCATTGGATACCAACAACCCTGACCCTTTGACCTTGACCTTGTAGATTTTCGTACTTATGAAAAAAAACTAACCTTGGCCATATCTTTTGAACGGTAAGGGATAGGGCTTTCATACTTCATATACGTAATTCTTGTGAAAAGACCCTTTATTGGATACCAAAAACTTTGACCCTTTGACCCTGACCTTTGAGATTGAGCTACTCTAAAAAAGCAAACCTTGACCATAATTTTTAAAGAGTCAGGGCCAGTGCTTTCATACTTTACATATTTAATCCTTGTGACAAGACCTTTCATTTGATAACAAGAACTTTGAGCCTTTGACCTTGACCTTGAAGTTTGACCTACTTTTAAAAAAAATTGAACATTGGCCATAACTTCTGAACG